TTGTGCAAATGTACATTTATTGAATACAAATATTCAGGACAGGCTTAAAGGGGACCTATCATGCAAAATGCACTTTTGTACGTCTTTTATACATGAATATGTGTCCCCGGTGTGTCAGGGAACTCACCAAGTGTCAGAAAACACAACCCTCTCTCTTTCCTCCATACCCAAATCTCTGAAAGCGGGGCTGCAACGGATCTGATACAGACTGATGCAGATTTGAAATATCTCTGACGTCAGAAACGAGGAGCTCCGCCTATATGGGCAACTCTCCACCTATCAGGAGGAGACAGCCACGGTCATTGCCGTTCGAAAGCGCTGGAGACGCTGTAGTACATATTCCAGGCCTGTAGGTGGCGCTGTAGTCTGCCACAAAAGCAGCGAAGAAGACTTCTCACGGATTCAGCCCTTGCAAAAACAGGGCTAAAAAAGAGCAAATAGAGCGAAATGAGGCATGGCTAAAATGCATGATCTGTTTGTTTTAGAGGGGCCCCCAGTGAATGTTTGCCTAGGGCCCCCACAGACTCTAGAATCTGCACTGATTTTATAAGAACAATGTTTGCCTTAAACTGCAAAGTTCACAAGAAGCTCTTGAAAACAGGATCAGACGCGAAGTAGTCCTCCGTGATTTTCTTTCTCCAAAAGTTTGGATTTTGAATTTAAACGCACCAATCCCCTGTCATAACTGAGTAACCCTACCTTTACTCGTGTCAGGGTCCCGTTGGGTCTGTCGGGCCGCTCCTCGTCAGAGAGCCGCCCGCTGCCAAAGCTGTCCATGGAGTGAGAGGAGATGGTGTGGCAGAGCTCCTCGAAGGAGTAGTCTCTGTCCCGGCACTTTTTGATCTCGTGGAGCAGCTTGGACAGCTCACTTGTCACGGCATCATCTGGGGAGAGGACCAAGGGAAGTAAGAGAACAGCCAAAGTCTCCAGCAAGGGTGAAAATAAATCTGTTTTATGACTGACTTAAACACCAAATCAGACTGCTAAACACACATTGGGTAGAATATATTCATTTTAAATCATCCTTTTATTATTTACACTTACAAATGGTTTCCTAAACTAACAGGAGGTTGTTGCAATGCTACATTTAGAACATAGGGGGCAGCGCCTGACAGGGATTAGTATGTCAGTGCAGAGCGGTAGTAACTGTCTGTCTCCACTACAGGAGCTGCTCTCCATGGCTGGGTTTATACTCTATTGTTGCAAAAATAAATTGCTTATGTTGTATGTTTTTACAACAACAAATAAAGGCACAATAATCCACTTAAAAATATATGTCAGGATGAAAGTTAAATTCTTCCTCTGGGCTGCAAAGTTGGACTTCAGTGTATTTCCTTTACTAACATAAATAATCAGCATTAATAATGAAATAATAAGATGTTGAAGCATATCTCAAAACATATCATGAACCTTATGCATAATGTATTGGTTTCCAGTATGACGTATTCTAATACCACAAAAAACAATAGAGACATTAGAAAAATGTCCCTTAAAGCACCTTCAATCCCAGTATTAACTTAAGCATTGTTTGTGGTTGTTCCCATGTGTGTGTGTGTTACTCACTCTTGTGTCTGAGGGAGGGGGAGGCACAGGGTGAGGGGACGGAGGTTCGAGGGGCAGGGATGGGACATTTTCTGACTGGCTCCTCCACGATACTCCTCCTCTCCATCTCGTCCATCATGTATTCTACAGAGGAAAGGAGACAAGAGAGTAGGAGGATGGATGGTCAGACAATAAGAGAAGAAGCTGAAAAACAGGGAGAAAGAGGAGAAAGTAAAAATGGTTTGAAAAGGAGTTTTGAGGAAGATGTGATGTTCGAGGACGGTGCAGAAGCATGGGGAAGGAGAAGCATCTCAGAGACATTTTCCTGGATCAATATAATAGCCCGAGCATCAGCATGGTAAACAGCTTGTGCCGCATTCAATTCTCACTTTTTTTCCACACCGCAAAATCACTTCACAGCTCCAGCTAATAGAGCACTCTGCTGTTCATAAAAGCAAAAAGGGAAGGAATACTGTACGTGAGGAATGGAAAATCACTCTCGTACCTGTGGGGGGATAATAAGTTGGATAATAAACTTCCCTAAGTGAGGCATTAGCGGCAAGAAAACTCACAAACACGCATACACAGTGAAGTGCTAATGAGAATCCTATTACAGTCAGAATAGTGTTTATTTATACGAATATGATTCTTGCCTCAATACTTATGATGGACAGCCACATTTACATACAGGTATAAAATGGAGTCATAAAGGAAGGATTACAATGCTTTGACATTTTTATTACTGCACTCGTGCTTTTGTAGTGACAACTGCACTGTACAGTAAGTATATGTAGGTGTATTACCAGTTGCTGCTACACGGTAAGAAGTGAACTGGGATTGAATTTGAACAGGGGGATAAGGCAGGCGCTGAAAATCTATTGATATTTTTCTTATAACAAGGTGCCCGTGGCAACCAGTAAGCCTCACAGCTGGTACAATTGAGAGAGTGTGTGTGTGTGTGTGTGTGTGTGTGTGTGTGTGTCCTTCTCCATCTCCTCTCCAACAGGAAATGGCATGCAGCTGATCTTTTCACCAAGTCACAGCTGTGTCCTTCTCCCTCTCTCTCCCCCCCTCTCACAAACACATTCAGGCTCCTATTTATGCTGAAGTCCAAATCTCTCCGTTTATTCGATTTGGATGGCTGCTATTCTTGAGCAATATCTACCATCACATGAATAACTGACTCCTAAAAAAGGTGTAAGTATTGTATTTATGTCTACAAAAAAGTGTGATTCTGGATATACAACAGTATTTACACTTCAAAGAAGCATTTTTCTCACACTGCTCAGGATTTTAGCAGCAGTCAAGGTATAATGGATGACTTCAAGTCAAAAGTTATAAAGGTGCCGTAACCTGAACAACTGTACTGACACAACAGCTGTCAGTCAGCACAAACACATCCTGTGAAGCCAAGCTTTATTGAGACTTAAAAAAAGATGATACCTCAGTAAGAATATGTTTTGTATTCATCAGTGACGAGCTGGATCAAGCATAACTTCATAAATATACTATAATACAGTCGGTGTGGACTATTTGTCTTAGCTTAAAGTAGCTCTTATTGATTGTATGGGGCTACTTGGGGGCAAAAGAACAAGCTGTTATGTTGTGTTTAGAGTTAAGAAAACACTTCTCAATTTACATATCCAGCAGACATGGAGCAACATTAGCATGCATCTGAAGTCCCGTTTCTTGCCACCTGATGAATTTGAATCGTTCTCTGCTATGAGGAAAACGACGTCCTGCTTCCAAAGTAGGTTGATGAGATCTTTACGACTGAACCAAGACAAATACGTTTATTCCAAAACAATGATCTTAAATCTATTTATTTTGTATCAGAATCAAACATTTCAGTAGCTTTAAGTCTATCTTCTAAAGTTATTTTCTAGCTGTAGCCAGTTTGTAACATTCCTGGGAGTTCCATGTTTTCCTTTTCATGATGAGTCCAAGTGAAGACACTGTTAATTTAGGCTCTGACACATTCTCCTCATCCGTCTATCCCTCCATTACCGTCTGCCAGTATCTCCCTCTCTATAAATCATCTGTAGCTGAGTGCAGCCACAGATTACACACGCACAGATCGAGCAGGCCTCCAGGCCGCAGATTACAGCGTTCACACTGCGCCTCGTAATCTCCTCAGGACAACACTGTCTTTAGAAGTTGCAATCTGGAGGATCTATGGGTCTCTGGGGACTGCGGACTAACAATCACTGGTCACACACAAAACACATACTGCAGTAAACATGAGGGAAAGAATGGCCCATAAATGGCAGGTTGAAGACCAAGATGCGGAAGACTGAAGAAAGAAATCAAACAACTTATTTCTCTTTGGCTGAAAGAGTCTGCTGCATCTCAAAAGTGCTGTTTTGAATATGTGACTTGTTGAATCCAGTTGAATTACGAGACAAACGTTTATTTGTCTATTCACACATATGCATCCTCACAAACACTTGACATCCATGCCCATTTGTAGTTTTATAGAGTGAAGACTGTGGTTGGTTGGTGAATTTTGTAGACTGACCAGCTGACAAAGTGAGGAATAGATCTGCTCAAAATATCTATAAAATATTGCAGCCCATGTCATCTGAAGTACAAGTACAAGTATGATTTTGGTCTAAATAGTGCTCTCAGCTATCATAGAATGTGCATAATAGCATAGTATTTAATACAATAATGATAACATTGGGATTGCTTAACAAATAAGCTATATTGTATTCGATGGATAGTATATAGTCTATTTCAGCGATATATTACATTTATTGTAAGTGAGTATTACATGTTTTGCTCCTGAAATTACCAAATCTTTCTAGCAGTATTCTCCTAGATTATGTATAAATGTTGTGCTTGTGAATGTGTTTGTGTGTGTGTCTTACCTTGGATAAGAGCAGTGATTTGCTGAGATTTGGATGCAGGATGATCTCTCAGGATCTCGAGAGCCGTTCTCCCCTTGCAGTCTGTCAGACTGGTGTCGATGTCTGACACACACACACACACACACACACACACACACACACACACACACACACACACACACACACACACACACACAAAAAGGACATGAGCATCGGTACACAAACAATAGGGCAAAGGTCAAACCAGAACACCAATGACTTTATCAAATAAGATAAACCTTACAGGAAAATGCATTTGTGAAATAATTTTTCTTTTTTTTACGAAAAGCCAAAGCCCTTTTCATTAGGTTTTAGACCAAGGTTTCCCCTGGACAAAGGGACACACCGTGCTAAATCACAGAAATGACACACACTTGCCTGCAAAAAGAAACACAGGAAACAACTCAAGGATGCAGGGTCCACTATAAATCCTAATTTACCCGACTAGTACGACCCCTCCCTGTGCTCATGGGTCCAATTCAACATGAAAAATATATGACACCGGGTCCCTCTGCTGTGCACCATTAAAGAAAAATGAATCCAAACTGAGACATAGCACATTCAGGGCCCCATGCTATGCTCCAGTTTTTCTCTATTTCATACTCACTTTTTATACATTTTGCTGCTTTTCTCTTGGTATGCTTTTTATAGAATTTCATGCACCTTTTTTTGCTTTTATTTTAAAATCAAAAACCAAATAATTGAATGAATAAATAAGTCAGATGTTTTAAGTTCTAAGATGTTTGCTGAATGCCTGACAAACAGTTGTTTCCAAGCTTAGAAATGACCACTGATTTAATATTCAAGATCCTTAGCCATGACTGACAATGAAAGGCTGGCTGCCCGGCCCTCATCCGTAACCCCAAGCCCACACAGTGTTTGAAGTGTTGAAGTTCAGTGAATGAGTCAGCTCAGCCCTCTGTTGATCCAGGATGTTAATAACATGAGGCCGAAAGAACATGGCTATCCACACGAAGTCCTGCGGGAAACAGGAAGTGCTCAAGGAAAGTGGGTGGGGGGTGGTGGTTTCAAAAAGCTTACATTGTCCTTCAGTGACATTCAATCTGCTCTGTATATAAGAAGTGTTATGGAATTTTCCCACTATTTAAAAAAAATATGTACTAATCAGTATGTTTTACATGCAATCATAGTTATACACACTTTGAAGAAAAACAGCAATGCACATTATTTACAGGTGTAAGTGATTATTTTTGAAGGAGGTGGGAGCCAAACACCCTCAGGAAGTGGGTTTTTGTCACTACTAATCCCTTTCACCCTGTTATCAAGTCAAGCAACATCATCAAAAAAAACAAACACATAATTTCCCGTTGACGTTTCAGCACCTTCTACTGATACGACAAATCCTTCCAACAACTATAAAACTGTAAGTCCAGGATTGTATAACAGAGAGAATGCAGCAGACAGATGTCTGGAGTCAACCTGAGGGCAAATTCAATCCACTATCTTGAGAAATAAAGACATGTGGAGCATCTAGCCCCAGGTTGAAATAAAAAGGGAAAACAAGGGGAACACACTCAGTTTGTGTTCTTCCAGGATATATTTATAGACCCACCTGAGTCAAGCAGCAGGCGGACTACATCCATCTTCCCAAAGAGAGCCGCCTCATGGAGGGCACTGCCATTCTCCGTCTGAGGGGAACAGAGAGTGTGTGTTATGATTCCATCACTTTCACAATTTGACACAAGGCAAGGCAAGTTTATTTATATAGCACTTTTCAACACAAGGCAATTCAAAGTGCTTTCCAAAAATGAAAGACATTCAGAGCATAAAACACATTAGAAACATTAAAAAGCAAAGATAATAAAACATGAATAACACAGGTACATGAATAAAAGTTACAGTGCAGTGTAAAATGTGAATAGTTCAATTAAAAGCAGCGGCAAAAAGAAAAGTCTTTAGCCTGGATTTAAAAGTAGTAAGAGTTGCAGCGGACCTGTCCTGCAGGTCTCTGGTAGTTTGTTCCAGATATTTGGCAATATCCCGAACCAAATTCTCACATTCCTCTACCCCTAGTCTTCCCGTGAAATTATAGTTATTTTGACACTTTTCTAACCTTTTTATATTCCTTTCAACCTTCTCTTTCATCCATTTTGCATCCCCAGACAACACATGTCCCCCTGTTTTACTGTTACCCGAACACAGACAAAAATACACAACCAAAAGTGCATAGGGAGGCATTGAAGGCATAATACAAAAAAGATTTAAAGGTTGCAAGAAAACAATAGTTACATTTGATACAATGCCTGTTTTTCTCTGGCAGTAAAACACAAGATTTACAAATATAAATCACATTCTCATGCCTGCAAACAGCATGAGGCCACACTGATTTCAACTGTGACACAAGCAGCAGGAGAGTGTGTGGAAACTTCCCTCGCCATATGCCGGCCTGTATCGGCTTCCATTGCTTCAAATATGAGGATATTACAGATATGATGCAACACATGGAAACTAGTGAGGGGGGGGCGTTGGTACAGTATGAACCTCATCTCATATCAGCAGTGAGGAGAGAAATGTAATCTGACAAGCCTACTTTTATCAGCAACACTCAGGAGCCACGTACCAAGAACAGATGTTTACAATCACGCTGCGTGGGAGGAATAAGAACTAAGATGCACATGACTATGACATTTTCCAATACTTTGGTTTGGTGTTTAAAAAAGTGAAACAGATGGGTGGTGGTAAGGTCGGGTCACATTCAAAGAATACTAATCTTTTATTCAAAATTAATAATATAATTTTCAATGACAGATTGAAACATTTACAAAACATTGATGGCATACAACTCAGAATGACTGTAGTAAACATTACCAAGAATTAAAACATACATTTGTGCAAACCATATTCTTGCCATAAAGAACAGGTAAGAAAAGAAATGTTGCAATGTATTTCCAGGTATTAAATTAGTTTTAAAGAGTAACGTTTGTAAAACTCTAAAGTTAAGTTATCACATCCACTTTTTTTTGGTAAGAAAAACAGCAAAAGAGAGACAGAGAATGATCAGTTAGTACCGCTGTAATGATTATTAGTATTGACACAGTCTAATTATTATATAATGATACAACATAAGACTGTATGTGCTTAAGTGCAAAGGACATGATTAAAATATAGTTTAAAGGGAATTCAATGATAGAAAATGTTATGTTGACTCTCTGGCATCAGTATATTCCACACTTTTAATTCTCATGCTGTGTTAGAAATGGTGTTTCTATATTTTCCAGAAACATATTGCAGTGTGCAGGCTGCTTGAAGCTAAAGACCCACAAGGGACACTAAAAATGTAAACTTGAACCACACACAGCTATGACACACACACACACACCCATCCACA